CTACATTCCACCTGAGACTTGGAGGCCGTGACAGGTTGTCGTTTGCACTTGCTTCTGGAACGTAGGGCACTGGGAAGTACTGTGCTCCCAAAAGTATTGCGCGCCCATGCATGATCAGATGCTCCGAATTCAGGCGTTGTGTAGGAGTAGCGACAGAGCGTCCAAGTACTTGCAGGCATGGAACTTGGTATCCCCGCGGCGACGTCTTCAGCATGGGCGTGGTGTGTCTCACCTGCAGAATCCTGCAGATGATGGAGTTGATCTATCTCACCCTTTCAAAAGTCTGGGTACTAGCTTAGCTGAGCACAGAGCTTGGACAGAACCTGGGGTCGTCTCAAATCCCGAAATCCGTTTTTATCAGATTGCCGGCCGAACTCTCCACGATTGCACCCAAATTTGCATTGAAGATTGTGAGCCGATGATAGCTGTCTTGAGGTTCTTCCAATGCATCTGCGGCATGGTGCTGGGCCCAGAAGGCGTGAGGACTAGAGGACGAGTTCACAGGACTGGATTTGGACAAGAATTGCCGAGCTGGCACTGGTGTCTTGCCATCTGCTGGCGACCTGTTGTCTGAAGATTGTCAGATCGTTGATGCCGCAGTTCCTAAAGACCCCAAGACACATCTCAGCATGTGTGGCTAGCGTTGGAAGGACTTGAATTTGAGGCTTGTTGGTTTGAGGGCTGCTTTGGGTGTAGAACGAAACAGACTGCCCTGTTTGGCAACTATTACAAGTCTGTGGTGAAATGCTCGTTCAGGTTCAAAGGAGCCCTGCCAACACATTATAACATTTGCACAAGCAGACACCATGGACCTCATGGTTTTAGAACCTCACGCACTTGCTGCTTCAAAATATACTTCATCATTCCGTACGGCCGCCTTTTAGAGAGGCGGACAAACCACCCCAAGCTGTGAATTCGCGGAGTTCATTGCTTACCCATGACCTGAGGCAGGTCAATCAACAAATGTCCCCTTGTGTAACCTTGAATGCAAATAGATCCTTCTGCAGCAGCTACCCCACCCTGAAATCCCATTTCTGAAAATACTACCTCAGTTAGCAGTTTTCCCCGCCGTCGGAATGGCCCATGGATGTGGCGCGGCTGCGGCGCTGGTAGGTCTGCTGCTGCAAATCCAAGCATGAAAGCCAATATATGCTGAATTGTTGAAGGAGTAAGCTCACAGCTCATGGGCCCCTTCATTATTCCACTCAACCTACTAGTAAGCACCCTACTCTGGCAATTAAGGGTTCTACCAGCTCAACCTTCTGTCAGTGGCTGCGTGCCTCAAGAGGGGGGGCCATGACAAATAATACATCACGTGGAGCTACTCAACATTTGGCTTGCCTTTCGGCGTTGTGAGCGCGCTCCGGATTCTTGGTTTTTGCCATCGTCTCTGGATGGCGATTATGCCGAGATGTAAGAGATCTACTGTAATAACAGGTGAAGGGTACAAACTTTACATGTTTGCCTTCTGTGAAACCTCTGTGCCAACCACACGCAGGATTGAAAAATCCGACACGGGATCAAGACAAGTGATGCGCGAGCTTGAGCTACCAGAGGGCTGAAGCCTTGCTGCACCACCATGTGAGGTTATCAGCGGCCACGGGGTCATGAGTCCAGACGCTGGCTGCAGCCTTTGCTGCTGCTTGCATTTGCTTCAGGCCAGACTCGCAATATGAAGACGTGAAGGTTCACAGTACGACTTATGGAGGGAGGAAGTGTGGGGGACCTACTTGCAGTCTTGCTGCAAGCAGGGAAAGTTTGGGATGCCTAAGGCGTGGCCGGGGCTTGCCTTTTAAATTCTTGGCGGTTGTGTAGCTGTCGTTCCAGGTTCCCCGCGGCGGAACAAAGTATTTGGTCGATCTGGGGTGCATCACCTCCTGATGTGGGCCCTGACACATGCCGTTGCACCGTTGATTGCAGTATTTCATGTCGAGAATGCCACTCGCGTTCCGCAAGAGTTGCAAGCCGCCTAGCAAAAATAACAGGCATTGTTCCATAGCAAGGCGGTTGTTTATGATAATTCTTCTGTTTCTGGCATTGACGAACGGGGTTCACAAGAGACGCCAGGGCCCATTTTAGAGCCATCTACAACTCCATAGGTTTGGCATGCAAATGCTCCACCTTTTGTATGAAGTCAGTGGCGGTCGTAACAACGCATAATGTTGATCTGGAGAACGTGAAATGATGAAAAGAGATCAGCGGAATGATGCAGAGCAGCCCAATTTGTAGGCTGAATCTTCAATATTCAGCGGCAACTATCTTTGTAGGGAAAGTCCAGCAATACGGAAGAAGGTGTGACAGCAGTTGCCTTTGCGCGACCGCGCGGCTTCGATGTAGCACCCCCGCCGTCCAAGGCTGCCAAGGACGGCGTGACAGGGGGTTTCTCAACACAACGTGACCTTAGGGACTGGGATCCTGGTAGACATACCGAGCAGACTAGGGGGTCTCTATGGGGATCTATGAGGGATTATATCGGGCTCATTTGGAGAAGGTCCCACCAGGGCTCAGTTACGGTTTCATGCTTTCCCCATCGCCACATGGACGTATACGGCTACTACCACTCCTCCTGTTACTACTGCAACCACTTACTCCTCTAACGAAGATAGCTACTAACGGTCGCAACAGTTTCGACCTCTTTACCTCCTGATTGCTGGCTGGTGCGACGCAGTTGTTGTAATGTTTGCCAGGTGGTGAGTGAGTACCATTGTTTTGCGCGCGTAGAGTGCTACACCTTTGAAGAGGGCCTCTACCAAAACCAGTGAACTCAGTCTCCTTTCAGTCTTGTTGTCGTTAGCTTGGTGCTTCTCTTGTCATTGTTACGTTTCATATTGTCATCATCCCTACTTCTGTCCTATCTCACTCATGCAAATCACACCTGGCACGCCACGGATGAACGTTCCGGTATTGCACCCATCAGCTAACGAAGCCTTCAACTTAAGATGTGCGCAACAGAACAGAGATGATGTCCATATAGACGAGCCTCATGCGCCTGTGCAATGGAACGTGCGAGGAGACCATCATAGATGTGTCGCCGGCGAAGGATATAGGCAGTGCCTCAGCGGCAACAGAATCAGTCGGGGCTCAGGTTGAAGGCCAGCAGGGACGACCAAGCATGGCCTACAGGCCAGCATGCAACTAAAGAGTGGCAGATTTTCATTCGGACGACGGGGCAGCCTTCCGACACCAGGGAAGTAGCCATCTTAAGCCAACGAAAGGCACCTATCTGGTCAGGTGCCACCGTACTTTCTGGACCTGCATCGCAGGGCCTGTCGGGCGCGGACGCAGCTTGGTGATGTTTGTCAACCTTCCAAGACATTTACCACAACCAGGGAGCCAGCTACACGTTTGCCTCAACATGTGCCTTGACGACAAGAATTGTCAGAACTGCATGTACGATAAGCTCATCTACAACTTGCGTTTCGTGCGTGCTATGGGGCACAATGATACGGATGCAGCATGTTGCTCCCATCAGTTTGATTGCAAACACAGTTTTCAGGCGCACAGCCACGGAAGAAACAAATCAGTTGACCGTTGTTCCAGTTAGTGCCTTGCGGCGAATGCATTTGTTATCCTGATTTCTTTCTCTTTTCTGGTCAAGGGTAGGCACACCTCAACAGCCCTCTGTATTTGGCTGCCAACAACATCAAATAGCAACCATGAACGAAGGAACAACTTGGTTTCTGCTTGCTATCCCACAACCATGCTGCATGTCCGGTGCGTTGAAAGGTCTCAAGCACTGGTAAGCGTCCCAAACATCTGAGGCCAACGCACAAACATGATTTCTGCATTCACAGAACAGTGAGGCCATATCACACCATCAATGACAATGATACCGATACTTCACTGTTCTACTCGAAGCACAGCGGAAAGTAAAGGGTTCGCAACAGAGCACTTACGCTGGTTGGCCTCCCACATCCCACCACGGACGGTTGCAAGTGTCTTCGTTGGCGCAAGACAATCGCACCACAGCAGTGCAAATTGAGCCTAGCGCAGGCAGCAATCGCGGACAATAACTGTCAGCACCAAAAGATCGCTACACGGAAGACGTGCAGATCAATGAAGCTACTGTGATAATGTTCCATGCACTGTCCCACGCTTGCCACTTGCATTGGATGGTAGCTCCCCCTCATTGTCGTGCCCATCATCGCATTAGCCAAGGTCATCATTGCAGGGGGCAGCTTGGCAGGTCTCTGGCTGGCCCTGCTGCTGAGCAAAGGCTGCAAGTCTTGCGGGACGCGGGCTTCCTCAGCATTTTGGGTTCAATTAGTTCAATTAGTGCCCCCTAACATTAGGATGCAAGCGTCTTCGCGGCATGCACAGAGAACACGCATACTAGTAGTGCAAGGTCGCTTCACTTCTTGTAACCTGCAAAGCGAAAACTGAGAACAAAGAGAACAAGTCAGGGTGCTAATCAGCGGCGCAAAGATGACTTGAAGATGAAGCATGTCTGCCTTCTCATCGCTGGAAGTTGTGAAAAGAGGATAGTCAGATCATCTTCATTGTGTTGCCTTGTGAACGCTGATCACACATGTTCCAAGGTTCAAGGGTAACAGTTAATAGTAGGGTTTTTTAGCGCGGGCTTCGGGCTGGAAATTAGAATGCATTTGACCCAATGTCTCCAGAGCAGGCCCCTGTACGAAGGCATGGGAACCCCCCACCTGTCAAGCATGCTTCCTGCAACCCTTTGAAAGCTCCGTGCCTCACACGAGACGTTTACTGCTTCAAGGTGAGCAATTCAGGGCACGGTTTGAGTCAGAGATAGCCTCGCTGAACCTGACAATCAAGAGATAAACTCAGAAAAGCAGATGAAGCCTGCGGAAGGCGCGGCGCAACGTGCATTCAGACCCACAGTTAATCCTGTAGTTCGGTGACAGTTTGTAGGCAAGAGCGCTTTCTTCCGAGTTCTGCGCCGCAATAATTCTGACCACGTTTCTAGAAAGGAGGCTTTCTAGGTCGTTGCATCGTAATCACAGCCCATGGCAGGCGTTGCTGCGGGAAAGGTTGCCCGCATCCGTGTGTATGAGGGAAGCTTGGCAAACAAAGCTTGCATGGGTCCACGGACGTTCGGGGTAATGACCTCACATCTCCCTAGAGTGGGACACAAACTCTTCAGGTGGATTCTTTGGGGTGTAGGGGCCCTGGACTATCCTCATGGTCTGTAACCCAAATCACGTGACCTATTTCCAACAATTGAACCCCCCATCTTGTAGCCAACATAATGTGCTTTATTTGACTTTTGCAGGCTCCCTCAGAGGGACCATTTTTGGGGAAACCACCTTCATTACTAGGCTCCTGGAAGACCAGTCCCTCGGGTGAGCTTCAGCCACGTGAAAGACGTGGCGACGTGGAGGCCCAGAATGCCTCAGTGTTTGAAGTGATCTAGATTTCAGGGGTTGAGAGTTTGGGATTCGTATTTGGGTCATAGGGGCTGAGGGCTTGGGGTTGTTGGGGTTCAGGACGTTTGAGTGGTTAAGGGGGGAGTTGTGGCAAAGAATGTGTTGAATATCTGAGATTTGACTGACGCTGCATGCAGAGTAAGGTCTGGGTTGAAAGAGGTCATAGGTTTAAGGGTTTTAGGCTTTCAGGACTTGGGCGTTTGGGGCACTGGGTGTAGCTTATGCTGCAGGGGAAGGGTTGAGGGTTTGAACGTATCGGCTTTGGACCTTGGCTTTGTGCTGCTACAGGGCTCCGGTTTTCGGGCTTTTGGGCTCAGCAGTTGTCAATGGGCTCCTGTCCAGATAGGGGTCCTCGTGTGAGACGTGACCACATCACAACTCGCTCAACAACTCGCTTCCAATTTGCTTCTAACTGAACTGCAACACCCAGACACCCTCGCGAGACATTTGCTCTCAAAGCAAGATCCTCAGTTCGCTCGGGAAAGGCCGCCTTGGACGTAGCAACCGTCGAGGGCCACGTTTGGGCCAAGATGCCTGGAAAAGTCAAAAAGGCCCTCCAGGCAGAAGGCGGCTCCTAGTCCTTGCTTTGGTCTTTATCCCTCAGGATCGATGATGGCACCACTGGTGCGCTAGCGGGGGGGTTCCTGTACACGTCTCTGTGAGAACAAGTTCAGAGCAAGCTTTCCTCAGTCAAAGCAGATGCTAGCATCAGCTGTTTCGAGCTTTAACCGAATACGTCAACTTGCTGGCTTGCCCAAACGATGAGGCGCCTGTTAGTCGTTGAGCACAGAGAATTGTGAGGCAGTCCTACTGCCAGTTGTGACTGCCTGAGCCAAGGCTACATTGAGCAGTGGCCAAAGCGGGCTGTAGACCCTGGAGAGGAGGTGACAAGTTGCATGCAAGATAGTTATTGTTTGGGCTCGGAATGCAGATCTTGCAGAATCTGACAGTACATGGGTCAGAGAATGTGCAATCTGACAGTACTGGGCACTGGCAGCCGCTTCGCAGGTGAAAGGGCAGCCCTTTCCTCGCAATGTTGCCGTCCAGAGTCTTGCCAAGTGCTTGCTGGATGTAGCGCAGGAGGTGCGGACTGGGGCTGAGAAATTACAGGCGATCAAGCTTGATTTATCCGAGTGCAGATTCCGGCAGCAAGACATGTCAGCCCGGCCCAGGAACCCAGTCTTCGCCAAGATAGCATGCTATACAAATGCTGAATTGAATGCAATACAATACAAGCCAAGGATTTAGAAAAAAACGTTTGTGGAAGTTGTGTGCGATCTACTTGGGGATGGTCAGGGCATGTTATGGGCCGGAAAGTCAGGTCACATGGCTTTCATTGCAGGCTCACGGGCTCATTGTGTGCGAGTCCCGAGACTGAGCTGGGTCCTGTGTGTCTGTGGAGGCCCCACGAATAGAGCTCATTCCGCGAGACTACAGCGTTACGGAGCATCGGGAACTCCTGCAGCTTGTCTGGCACATCTACACTCTTGTTAGAACTGCCCTTGGTCGCATCAAATGAAGCCTCCTAGTAAGGAGTGGCATTCTCCAGCCATGGGCTGTAAATGCGGCAAGGTAGTTCCCTTCCCAAGTCTGCTTGATAATTTGGTGGAAAGCTTCATAATGCTTCATAGGTTGGGACTCTGACATGAGAGCACCCGGGGCCGGACAGTAAGAGATTCTGAAGGGATGCGATCAGGATTGCAGCCACCCCTGTGACTCCCCGACATCAGCTTGACTCAATCTGCCCTTCCTTCACACTTAATTTTGGTTAGCAAATGGCTGAGTCTGCAGGTTGTGCTGCTGAGTACTCTGACGTACGTGCTAATTCTGAACGCAGCTGTGAGTGCTGAAGCAGACTTGTGCGGGACAGGTCAGCTGGTGACCAGTTCCAGTCGCTAGTGTTCGCCAACGATGGGCCTTCGCTGAAGGCGCTTTGATTTTGTCAGACCGTTGTCCAAGCGGCTTCGCCAAAGAGAAGAGCATGAATTGGGAAAACGCCTGATGCACCCGCATGCTTCAGACATCTCCATTCATCATTAAACCACAGTTAAGTAGAACCATTCGAGAGTCTCAAGCTTTTGTAGGCCAAGGCGGGGTCAGTCCATTGTGTACCTGGATTTGCCCGTTTGGTGTGGCAATCCTTTTTCGAAAGCAGGTGTCCGGGGAACGGTTTGAACATCGCAGTCCTGTCCTGCATACCGGGGAGATGCAGCCACAAGGCATTGCAAAGATGAAGCATAACAATAACTGGCCCACATGTTCCACAATCAGCTGCTGAGACTCCAACCTGAAAGGATCCATGTCCTAATCTAGCTCCACGCTTAAGTCACAAGATGTATGTCTTGCAGTTGCCAGTTGAATTGCAAGGCTTGCGAGGAGATTTTTGACGACCTCTTTGCGTTGCGGAGCTGGCAATATTGTGTTGTTGAAGGTGTTGTGTATGTGACGCATACGTGGGCTGGCTACACAAACTTAGGTTGCCAGTTCCTCGTGACGACCGAGGCAGTAACAGGGAAGCTTTCTTGTCTTGGGATTGGGTCTTTCCGTAGAGCCCGGACAGGTCTTTGGAACCTGGTCTGGGGATGGTAGAGCACCCAAGTAAGAGGAATGGCTAATCGGCCAAGCGTGGTCCATGAATTTCAGCCCTCTTATCCTGCCTGCAAGGCTGGGTACGAAGTTGGGGTGGTTTGTTCCGCGAATTAACAAAGGAAAGGTAAAGTGTGATTTGGAGGAAGCTGCTACGAATAGAAGTGCAAGCACAATCTCAATCCTTCTGACGTGCCAGAATTGGATTGTGAGGCGGACCCAACCTGCCCCACCGCAGTCTAGAGTCTAGGCTTCATCGTCGCAGCAGAGAAGACGCTGGCAGCCACTTGGTCCTTGAAACTGGCTTGATCCAAAAATGGGTGAAGCTGTGAATCAACCTTCAGTGTGTAACGGACAGCACAGCTGAGGTAGTGATTTGCGCTTTCAGTAATTGCCTCAACTGATCTGGCGAGTGTTGTAATTATAGTTACCTGCCTGAAATCCTGACACGTCGGTACCTAACTTCCTCCAGTACCGTATTTCGTTGAGTGAACCGTTGATCCTCCCCAACGTTTGCATCGCGTGTGCCCTTGAAAGCGTCAACCAAAATTCTTGCAGGCCTTTGGCCGAACGTTCCCGGCCTGAGCTATGCTCAGGCACCCAGTTCTCATTATCCCCAAGTCCTGCTATACATCCTCAGTATGGCCCGTTACGCAAACTCCAGGAGCATCACCATTTCTTGATACATGCTTGGCTGAGGTCACAACCGCGCATTCCAGCAGAGCAGAAGCACATGCGAAAGACCTCGTTAACTGAAGTCCTGAAGCGTTATCCTCAAATGTCAGGCTTCTTACCCAGAGCCTACCCAAAGTACATCGTCTTGAGGGGAAGTGACCTGAGTAGCTATCACGCTGAGACCCCGTCAGACTTCCCGATGAAATTTGCCGTCAATCCAATAACAGCGCTTGAGTTCGTTGAGGTTGCCTTCGACCTTCCGTCTCCTTCAGCCTTGTCACTGGGAGCGTCAATGGCGCTTTCTTGGGCCCAACGCCGTTTTTTCCTCACCTGGGCAAGTGACTCGTCCTGTTAGCGCTATAAGGAATTTCCCGGAAAAGGTTCTGGTCGTTGCTGTTCATACTGAATGGCTGCGGTGCTTACGCAGACATTCTGGTTTGCTGTTAGTTGAGGTCCAACTCGTGGCCTGCTACATATACGCCTGACCCCGGAAGAGGGGCAGACTGTGGCACTGCTTCCTTCCAATCCCAGTGGCCTGCTGCCTCTTGGAGACCATTAGATAGCAAATGATAGCAAGGGCCGGGGCTTGCTCATGCACCTGTGTACACTCTGGCAACTTGCCAGAAAACAGTGGGTAGGTAGAATCAGAACGACTGTGACTATGCCGCTTGTATGTGTGGGAGATGTCTCGTCCCAGGTCATCTCTTCGCAGCGAGGCTGCAGGTGGCAAGAAGCCGGAGGTGGAGCAGATGTGGCTACTGGGCTCGGCGTTGGATCTATGTCCCAAAGTTGTTCTCAATGGTTTGAGACACTCTTCTTCTGGCAAGGGTCCTGTTTCGGGAAAACTCTAGTGCCTGATCTAAGCACATGTTCGAAGAAAACGTTGAGCATCAGACGGACCACCGAGAGAGAGAGAGAGTGTGCATGGAAGCACCACCTCACCAACTAAGGCAGGATGTGCGAATCTGGTCTGACTCAGCATGTTTTGTGCCCGGTGGATAGTTAAGATTAGCGAAGATAGGCGGCGCGGAAGTTCCCTCACCATCATTTTGCGGCGGAGATGGGAAATCATGGTTGCCTTCTTGTTGTTCGTGCCTGCCTTGCCCTCGATGTTCGCCAAAGTCCTGCTTGGCCTTCCTTTGCCTGAGCCATAGCAGCCATGGCCCTGGAACTGAAGCACATCAAAACACAAGTAAAGTAGTGCTATATGGTCATTGACATGGAGACCGATCTCGAGTACACGTAGGCTGTCAGCCGCCCACGTAGGCATTGTTTGCCATGCACTGGCCCTTTTCCCCAAACATGAACAACTGGGTCCCAGCTGGACAATCTTGGAAGGGCGTGTGCTTTGCAAATTTGCTTTGTTGTATTTGACAGATGCCCAAGTGGCGAATTTTCAGTGGACTGCACGTCTACATGGAAACTCCGCGGCTGACAGCAGGGTTTACGGCCTCCTTGCGGTATGGCATGGCTGGTTGAAGGAGGTGACTTTGCACCTAGACTCTAGACTCTAGACTCTTAAGCAAGTCGCAACGAAGGAAAGACACGTGTATTGCAGAAACAGCAGAGTGCAGGTCCTGGATTTTGTTTCCTACCTTGTAAATGCCATGACATTTGTTTGGCCCTTTAATTTCGGAGCACGTCACAAAATCTTGCCTTCCCACATATCAGCCTGACTCTAGTTCCACTTTGACATGATGGGTGGGTGCTCTTTCGCAGGAGTGATGCATCATCCTACCAAACACCACGCAGTATGGTTCTTCTAATTTTTGCAGGGACGTGCACAAGAACCAGTATGTTTTCACTAACATGAGTCCCCAGAGTGCGGATGCAAAAAGAAGCACATGGGCCTCACATGGGCTGGACTCATGCGAAGGGTCGCATACAGCAGACCACAAAAAGTGGGATCCAAACCTGTGCGAGTCTAAGGAGACGGCTGCAAGTTTTACGGCATCCCCGAGGCCTTGGCTTTTTGAACAGTCTTGTAGAGGGCTGTTGGAGCAGTGGCTTGGCACCCCTTAGAAACACGGGGCTAATGAACTCTCAATCCACATGATTCTGCCAGCAGCAACACGCAGCAAGACGAGAGGAACCCGCACCGTCCATGCCTGGGTCCCTGATTCGAGGAGTCGCTCACGGAGATGGCATGCTTCGCAGCGGATGTCGCAGATCGGCCCAGCTATACCCAGCTGCCTGCCTTGTCTGCAGAGCTCACCGAAGTAGCTTTGCAGGAGGGATGCCATGCGGTCATGGATGTGGCTTCTTATTCTCAAATCCATGCCAGTGAGCCACAGTAGCCACTCATTTCGTGCGCGGTAGAATGTTTTGGGATAGGTTTGTAGCCAAGCTTGTGGGTTTACGCTCCAGCGCTT